ACAGGGTCAAAACTTCTTTTAAAATCGATGAATGGATTGTGTTCTGTTTTGATCTGGAATCACAAGCCCATGAAATGTTCGAGAGTACTGTGCCACCAAATATGATGTTCATGTTTTGTTTTCAACTGTGAGATATCTTTGATCTGCTTTTGTCGATGCTCTTTAGGCAGAATATACAGATCAGCTCCTTCATCTCGCTGAACTCGGAAAAAGATTCATAAAGTAGTATAACCGTTTCAGGAACAAGGGTAACCAGGCACAGGAGAGAGGTGATGATATTGATATTGTGATAACAATATAGTAATGAGAATAGTGCTGAAACGAAAACTGTTTAAAGTGGATTGATGGGATTATATGAGTTGAAACAGCAGGGAGAACCTTCACGAGAGATGTAGTATTAGGCATTCAGATTTGTGATGAATGTGACATCACTCTGAGCAAGCATTGTGTTTTCATGTACCTTCAAAGAATATACTCGAGTCTGCTCTACCATTCAATAAGAGCATGAGTGATCTGACTTTAACTTCAATTTTACATTTCTGCATATCCCCTGCAAACTTTCATCCCTTTGGTCATCAAGAATCTATTTACCTCTGCCTTACAAATATTTAAAGATCCTGCATCCGTTGCCTATTGAGGAAGGGAATTTCAAAGTCTCCCAATCATCTGAGAGAAAAAGAAACATTTCCCCATCTCCGTTATAAATGGGCGCCCTCTTATTTTTAATCTCTGAACCTTCGTTCTAGAATCTCCCACAACAGGAAACAATCTTTCAAGATCCTCCCGGTCAAATCCCCTCAGGGTCTTGTATGTTTCAATTAAGTCACCTTTGACTCTTCTGAACTCCAGAGGATACAGGCCTATCCTGTTTAGCCTTTCCTCACAAGACAGTCTGCTCATTCCAGGTTTTGGTCTACTTCTCTGAACTGCTTCCAATGCATTAAAACCCTCCTGTAAGTTTGACACTGCGCACAGCACTGCTGATACAGTCTCACCAATGCCCTGTATAACTGGAGCATAACTTCCCTACTCGTTTATTTAATTTCCCTCGCAATGAACCATGATATTCTATTAGCTTTCCTGATTACTTCTTGTACCCACAGACTAACCTTCTGTGACTCATGCACAGGGACACGCAGATCCGTCTATGTTCATTTCTGGCCACCTCATTACAGGAAGGATGTGGAAGCTTTAGAGAGGGTGCAGAGGAGATTTACCAGGATACTGCCTGGACTGGAGGACAGGTCTTATGAGGAAAGTTTGAGGGAGCTAGGGCTTTTTTCATTGGAGCAAAGAAGGATGAGAGGTGACTTGATAGAGGTTGACAAGATGATGAGAGGCATACATCGAGTGGATAGTCAGAGATTTTTATTCCCAGGGTAGAAATGACTATTTTGAGGGGGCATAATTTTAAGGTGATTGGAGGACGGTACAAGGGAGATATCAGAAGTAGGTTCTTCACACAGAGTGGTGGGTGTGTGGAATGCGCTGCCAGCAGTGGTAGTGGACTCAGATTCTTTAGAGACTTCTAAGCGACTCGTGGATAGGCACATGGAGGATAGTAAAATGTAAGGTATTCAGGGTAGATTGACCTTAGTAGGACAGTAGGTCGGTACAACATCGTGGGCCAAAGGGCCTGTACTGTGTTGTACTGTTCTATGTTCTCTGCTCTATCTCAGAGCTCTGCAGCCCATCAATTATAGAGCTGTACATACTGCCCTGATGTAAATAATGAGTCTATTCCACAATGGAGATAGACAGAGTCCTTTCCTCAGCAGGAAAAGCAAGACAGTCCACTGGAGGCTGCCGACTCTTAGGGAACGCTGTAAACCAGGCAGAGTTATAGTGGAGATCTCTGGAATATAGTTAGCAGCACAGGTCAAACTGAGCAGATCGAGTCGCACACTGGAATCAAACAGAAGTTTTGGTTGGATAGCATATAGAATAATAGATATCTAGAGTGTGTTGTAGCCTGAGATCTAGCTTGAGGTATTTGAAAGCTTATTTTTTTATAAAAAAATCTCTTGTAGAATGTGGGCTAAGACAGCATTTGTTGCCCTTCCCTCATTGCTCCTTGAGAAAGGAGTGGTGAACTGCCTTTTTGAACCACTGCAGGCTGTGAGCTGTATGGAGACTCACAATGCAGAGTTCCTGCATTTTTACCCAGCGATATATTTCCAAGTCAGATAGTGAGTAACTGAGAAGTGAACTTCCAGGTGCGATGTTCCCATGCACCTGCTGCCCTTGTCCTTTTAAATGCAAATGTGGCTTTGGAAGGTGCTTTACAAAGGAGCCTTTGTTAATTTCTGCAGTGCATCTTGTAGATAGTTCACACTGCTGCTGTTGTGTATTGGTGGTAGAGGGAGTGGATGTTTGTGGATGTGGTGTCAATTTAGCAGGCTGCTTTGTTCCCGATGGTGTCAAGCTTCTTGAATGTTTTTGGAGCTGTACATTTCCGGGCAAGTGGGGAGTATTCCCTTACACACCTGACATGTGCCTTGTAAATATTGGACCGGGTTTGGAGAGGCAGAAAATGAGTTACATGCTGCAGAAAACATAGCCACGGTATTTATATGGCTGCTTCAACTCAGTTTCTGGTCAATGGTTATCCTCACGATGTTGATCATCGGATTCTGTGATGGTAACAGCATTGAATTTTAGACTGTCTCTTATTTGAGACCATCATTGTCTGGCTTTTGTGTGGCGTGAGTGTTACTTGTCACTTTTCAGCCCAAGCCTGAAAATTGTCCAGGTCTTGTTGCATTTGGACATGAACTGCTTCAGTGTCGAAGGAGTTATGAATAATGCTGAACATTGTGTACTCATCAGCAAACATCCTCACTTTAAGATGGATGGAAGGTCATTGATGAAACAGCTGAAAATAGTTGAGCCTCGGACACTGCCATGAGGAACTTCTTCAGAAATGGTCTGGAGCTGAGATGACTGACCTCCAGCCAGCATGACCATCTTTCTACGTGCCAGGTATGACTCCAACCAGCAGACAATTTGCCCCCAGTGCCCATGGATTCCAGTTTTGCTCGAACTCTTTGATGGTACACTCGGTCGAATGCAACCTTGATGTCAAGGACAGTCACTCTCGCCTCACCTGTGGAATTCAGCTCTTTAGTCCATGTTTGAACCAAGGCTGTAATGAGGTCAGGAGCTGAGTGGCTCTGGCAGAACCCAAACTGGGTGTCACTGTGCAGGTTATTGTTGAGAAGGTGCTCGCACTGTTGATATCACCTTCCATCACTTTCCTGATGATCAAGAGGAAACTGATGGGTTAGATTCGATTTGTCCTCCTTCTTTGTGTACAGAAACTCTTCCATGTTGTTGATTAGACACCAGTGCTGTAGTTATACTGGAACAGCTTGGCTTGAAGTGCTGCAAGTTCTGGAACATCAGTCTTCAGTAATTGAATTCAATTGGCTGAGAACTGATTGATATGATGCTGAGGACCACAGGAGGGGGCCAAGATGAATCATCCAGTTGGCACTTCTGCCTGAATATTGGTATGAATGCTTCAGCTTTAATTTTTGCACTGATGTTCTGGGCTCTTCCATCATTGAGGATGGGGATATTTCTGGAGTTGTTTAGTATTCCACCACCATTCACAACTGGATGTGTCGGACTGCGGAGCTGAGAATAAGAGATTGATAACCACACTCGCACATTAAAATGTAGAACTGGCAGTTACAGAGTGATAACCTCACTCAAGAATCAACATAGCCGAAATGAACATGAATGGATTGAGATCTAAACTCTCACTCACACAGCAGAGCCTGACAGGCAGAGGTTGATAATTGCAGTCAAATATTCACACAGTAGAAACTAACATTGAAAGATTTGTAAATACATTTACAGTACATATTCACACAGTGGAGATTGACAGGTACAGATTAAGAAGTGCACTCACATATTCACATTGCAGAAACTGAGAGGTATAGATCACTGACTAAATTCATACATTCACACAGCAGAACCTGACAGATACATATTGATAACAGCACTCACACATTCAAGATGGCGATGCCAGCATGGTAGGCAGTGTTCGGGCTCCTGTGCCGTCTGCTTCAGGTAGCTGTTTCCTTCCTTTCCTTACCCGATTTTTCTTTTTCTCTTTTTCTTCATCTCTTCCTGTCGACAGCAGAGAACGTAATATCACAGAGGAGAGCGACCGGAGCGGGACTCTTGGCAAGGCAGCGGTCTGGCCTGGAACCAGAGTTTCCTGGTTGTGGTAAGCCCAGAGCAGGGACTCCATGCATCGTTGAGGTGGCAGCAGAGCCAGGGACACTTGGTTGTGGTAGGCCCGGAACTGGGACGCCTGGTTATTGCCTTGACGGCAGCTCCTGGTTGCGATAGGCCTGGAGCCTCGATGTCCTATTTGTGGTAGGCCTGGAGCCAGGGTTTCCCATTTGCAGTAGGCCTGAGCTGGGGTCCCCTGGTTGTGCTAGGCCTGGAGCTGGGGTCCCCTGGTTGTCGAAGGCCTGGAGCTGGGGTCCCCTGGTTGTCGTAGGCCTGGAGCTGGGGTCCCCTGGTTGTGGTAGACATGGAGCTGGTGTCCCCTGGTTGTGGTAGGCCTGGAACAGGGACTCCTGGTTATTGCCATGGCGACAGCTCCTGGTTGCGGAATGTCCAGAGCCGGGGTCTCCTGGTTGTGCTCGGCCCGGAGGTGGGGTCTCCTGGTTGTGCGAGGCCCGGAGCTGGGGTCTCCTAGTTATTGCCTTGATGGAAGCCTCTGGTTTCGGTAGGCCTGGAGCCAGAGTGTCCTGACTGCGGTAGTTGCGGAACTGGGGTCCCCTGTTTGCAGTAGGCTTGGAGTCGGGGTCCCCTGGTTGCAGTAGGCCCGGAGCCGGTGTCCCCTGGTTGCAGTAGACCCGGAGCCGGGGTCCCCTGGTTGCGGTAGCCCCAGAGTGGAGACTCCCGGTTATTGGCGTGGTGGCATGTTCTGATTGTGGTGGGCCCAGAGTCAGCATCGTGTGGTTGCTGAAGAAGTGGTGATGGCAGCCGTGCCTGGTGAGTTGAGTGCAGGCAGTAAAGGGGTTCAGCGCAGATATCGTTGGTCAGCCAGCTCAGAGTTCATGGTGGAGGCAGCAGAACGAAGATGGACTTTCTTTCAGCATTATCTCTTTCTTCTTAAAGTATTCAAATGGTGTCGGATTGTGGCACCACAAATAAATCATCGTTGTTCATTCAGTCTTTGTCTCCTCAGCACAGCTTACATTCCCTCCTCGGTTCACAAGAAATCATGAGGCATTGAGTCATACAGCACGGGAACAGACCCTTCGGTTCAACTTGTCCATGCCAACCCGGCTTCCCAAACTAAATTAGTTGGGTTTGCCTGCATTTGGCCCATATCCCTCTCAACCCTCCTATCCATGTACCTGTCCAAATGTGTTTTAAATGTTGTGATTATACTCACCTCAACCACCTCCTCTGGCAGCTCATTTCATACACACATCACCCCCTGCATGAAAAAGTTGCACTTCAGCTCCTTTTTAAATTTTGCGTCTTCACTTTAAATCTATGCCGTCTGGTTTTGGACCTTGGCTGTTCACCTTATCTGTGCTCCTCATGATTTAATAAACCTGTATAAGGTCAGCCCTCAGCCTCCAACACTCTAAGGAAAATAATCCCTTAACGTCTTCTTATAGCTCAAACCCTCCAGTCCCGTCAATATCCTCATATATCTTTCTGCACCCTTTCCAGTGTAAACTCATCCTTCCTATAGAAGGCAATGTGAACTGTATGCAATACTGCAAATGTGGCCTCACCAATTTCTTGTTTCCTCACTCCTCATACTGTTACCACCTCATTTGGCATTGGTTCCCAGTGATTAATTGTAGCAGGGATGAAATTATTGCTGTACATTTATTCTGCACAGCTGTCAAATGACGTAGGGTTACAATGTGATGAATGTTACGACTAAACTTGAACAGTTGTGTTCTGCATAGAATTGGAACAATATGTAGAATAGATGTAAGCTCACATACAGGCAACCACAGACACATAGCAAAGGGCTACAATGTTGAAAATCATTGTGTCTGTACTGACCAGTCTCTCCTTGATGGCTCAGTGAAAAATAAGAGCTAGAAACAGGAGTCGGCCATTCATCCCTTTGGAAGCCTGCTCACCCATTCCATACAATCATGCCTGAACTCATCTCGACCACAACTCTGCTTTCCTGCCCTGCTCCCTTTAACCCATCACTGGTTAAAAATCTGTCTGACTCCTTCAATTTATTCAGTCTCCTGGCATCCACTATACACTCTGGTTGGGGGAGGAGTGAATTCCGATAGGTTCCCATCCCCCCTCCCGCAGTTGATAGGAGCCATTCCTCCTCATCTCTGTTTTCACTCTGCTCCAGCCCCTTATCCTAAAACAATGACTTCTAATTTCTAGGTCACCCCTCATGAGGAAATGTCCTCTCTCCATCTACTTTGTAGATCCCCCACAGACAGAAACAGGGGAAATTAAAGGGGACAAAGAAATGGGTGACCAACTGAATACATACTTTGGTTCTGCCTTCAGAAGGGAGCACACAAATCAGATACCAGAAATGTTGAAGAATGCAAGATTCAGTGAGAGGCAAGAATTGAGGGAAATCAATATTCTGAGAGAAATAGCGCTGGGAAAATTGATGGTATTGAAGGTGGATAAATCCCCAGGGCCTGGTAATCTACATCCCAGAGTACTTAAGGAAGTGGTTCTAGAAATAGTGGATGCATTGATGGCCATCTTCCAAGATTGTGTAGACTCTAGAACAGTCCCTGCAGATTGGAGGGTAGCTAATGTCACTCCAATATTCAAAAAGGCAGGCTGAGAGAAAACAGGGAATTATAGGCCAGTAAGCCTAACATTGGTAGTGGGGAAAATTCGCGAATCCATTACCAAGGACTTCATAGCGGATCATTCAGAAAGCATTGGCAGGATCAGACAGAATAAGCATGGATTTATGAAGGAGAAATCATGCTTGACAAATCTGTTGGAAATCTATGAAGATGTAAGCAGTAAAGTTGATAAGAGGGAGTCAGTCAATGTGGTATATTTGGACTTTCAGAAAGCTTCCATAAAGAGTCCTGCAAGAGAGATTATTGTGCAAGATTAGAGTGCATGGGACTGGGGGAAGCGTATTGAAATATAAAATTGGTTGGCAGAGAGGAAACAAAGAGTAGGAATTAATGGGCCCTTTTTAAATTGGAAGGCAGTAACTAGTGGAGTGCCACAGGGATCAGTACTGGGACCTCAGCTAATCACAATATATACTAATGATTTGGATGAGGGAACAAAATGTAACATCTCAAAGTTTACAGATGATGCCAAGTTGGATAAGAGGGTGAACTGTGATGAGGATCCAGAGATACTTCAGCGTGATCTGGACAGGTTGGGTGAATGGCAGATGCAGAACAATTTGGACAAATGTGAGGTTATTCACTTTGGAAGTCAAAACAAGAAAGCAGATTACTACCTGAATGTATGTTAGCTGTGAGAAGGGATTGTGCAGCAGGACCTGGGTGTCCTTGTGCACCAGTTGCTGAAGGCAAACATGCAAGTGCAGAAGGCAAATTATATGTTAGCCTTCACTGCAAGAGATTTTGACTTCAAGATCAGGGATGCATGTGTCCAGAACCAGGGCTCACAGTCTGAGGATTCAGGGCAGACCAATTAGGATGGAGATGAGGAGATATTTCTTCACCCAAAGGGTGGTGAGCCTTTGAACTTCATTACCACAGGAAATAGTTGAAGCCAAAATATTGAATGCATTCAAGAGCCAGCTAGATATAGCACTGAGGACGAACGGGATCAAAGGTTATGGGGAGAAAGCAGGATTAGACTATTGAGTTGGATGATCAGCCATGATCATGATGAATGGTAGAGCAGTCTCTAAGGGCCAAATAGCCTCCTCCTGCTCCAATCTTCTATGTTTCTATGTCAATCCCCCGATTTTGCATCTCATAACACCAATTAGATCTCCTCTCATTCCTTTAAACTCCAGACAGTACAGGCCAAAATTGCTCAATATCATCTCATGAGACAAACCAATCATCTCTGGAATCAATCTAGTGAACCTCCTGTGATCTGCCTCCACTACAACTACATCCCTCCTCAAGTACAGGGACCAAAGCTCTGCACAGTACTCTGGGGGTAGAAAAACTAATGGCTTGTACAAATGCAGCAACACTTTCAATACTTTTATACCCCATTCCTTTAGTAATAAATGCCGTTTGCACTTCCTTACTACCTGCTGTAGCTGCGTGCTAGCTTTCCAAGATTCATGCACAAGGTCACTCAGATCCCTCTGCACTGAATTACTCTGAGGTTTGTCCCCACTGAGATAATAAATTGCCTTTCTATTTTCAGCGGGGGTGTTATTCATGCTGTTGAACTTAGTTGCCAATATCCAGAGCATTGAGGATATTTCACACTAATCTACTGAACAAGGAACTAGGTCAGAACTGTGTTCTTATGTCACCTCCTACTCCTACACCAGATGCTAGGAGCAGCCAAACGCTCAGTCAATTATGTAAAACCAAAAGAACTGTGGATGCTGTAAATCAGGAACAAAAATAGAAGTTGCTGGAAAAGCTCGGGTTTTCTGAAGAAGGGTCATCCGACCCGAAACGTTAATTCTGTTATTTTTTTCTTCACAGAAGCTGCAAGACCTGCTGAGCTTTTCCAGAAACTTCTGTTTTTGTTGCAGTCAGTTATGTACCCTGCACATGAGAAGCCATCAGTTGGCACTTACAGTTACCCTTTTGTTCCAACACACAATCTCACTTCCTCAATCCCCCGTCACCTTCTGAGCTCCACTGAGCATGACCTTTTCAGAATGGAAACCTCTTGCCCCACAGCAGCCTCTGCTCATCTGTCACTGCAATCCCCTTTTTTATCTTTCAGAATCAAATTACAATTTTCTGAGAGACTGTGCATTGGGGTGGTTATTTCTGTAAGGATGGAAAGTCGGTACAGAGTTACAGTAAGCAATCAGGAAAGTTTGCAGGATCTTCTGATGCATTGTGAGAGGAATTAAATGCAAGATCCGGGGGATTATGCTTGAGTGATGTAGGGGATTGGTGTTTCTGCGTCTGCAGCATTATACAGTACGGCTCCCCGTCCTTACAGCAGGATGCTAATGCATCGGAGGCAGTTCAGATGAAGTTTGTCACACTTATACCTATTATTTCTGCGTTTATAACCTGTAATGTTACACCTGTTTTTCTCTATTTCTCTCTCTCCACAGGTGCTACCAGGCCTGCTGAGTTTCTCCAGCACTTTCTGTGTTTATAACCTATAATGTTAACTCGGTTCCTCTCTCTCTCTCTCTGCACAGATGCTGCCAGACCTGGTGAGTTTTTCCAGCACTTTTCTGTTTTTGCTTCAGATCTTCAGCAGCCGTCTGTTTTTGTGTCAATCAATACTGCGATTCAGATCATCGCAGTCCCAGTTCGTGTCAGCATTGATTGTCTGTCTATTCATTTTCAGAAATAATCTTTTTTTAACAACACGGTGTGGGAAAATGGGGTTTGTAACACTTTCAACAGAGGAGGGTTAGTGAAACAGACCAGTGATGGTACAAAGGACAAAGGGGTTATTAATTCTGGTGAAAGGGGAATAGTGATATAAAACGGGTATGTATTGAGGTGACGGGAATGGAGAGTAACTGTGGCTTGGTGAGCTGTGGAATTTGCTTTGCTTTTGCTTTCTCCAGTGATTTCTGTTTTAGTCACAGATGTTGCTGGTTTAAAGGCTGACAGCCCTGACAATATATCATCGTCATGATGCTTGCAGGGGTCTATTCAGCCTGGGTGCTGGCTGCTGAACTCTGATGAAGCTCAGCTTGCAAAGACCTTGTAGGGCTGATGTGGGGTTTCCTTTTCAGGGGACGAGGGGTGTCTGCTCAAAGTGGTGCCATCACTCATGCTGTTTACAGTAGCCCCCAGAGGGTGGAGATTGAATGGAACATTGAGTGGAAACTGCATCAAAACAGCAACACAGCTGTTCCCTCTGCCGCTACA